TTTTTTAATGTGTGGAGGTCAGTGCACAACTGATCAACAGACTTCACAGAGTGAGGTTCCACTGGTGATGTACACTATTATCCAGGCCTCAATACAAAACTGCAGAATTTGCGCATGTGTATTTTGATACATATTTGGGAAAATAAGTCAGAAGCTTCTATTGCATATTCAGGAAAATAAGTCAGAAGCTTCTAATGCATAGCTCAGGGTGTATCTACCCTGCAAAAGTATTACAGTTTGGCACCACTTTAACTGTGATGACTCAAACCAGTGAAATCATGGGAGTTGTAATTTTGTAAGGCACAGTACACTTTGGCAGAAAAGGTTTTTAAAAAATGTAAAATTGAGTCAAAATTCCCACATAGTTCAATTTCCAAAAAGGCTTGTTCTCTGAATATGGAGAAATAGGTTTCTATATGTGTATCGATACTCATATTCTCAGAGTGAATGCAGTGGTTAATATAGTATCAGTACGTTAACGGAATGATGCAAAGAAGACAAATGAAACCAGAGGAAATACTTCTCTAAGAGATAAGTATAGTTGCTGTACATTACCTTGGCAGGCTCCTGCATAGGTATGGTCCTTTTGTGGTCCACTAGAAACTTCAGTTATGCGCTGCCAGTCAGAATTATCATCTGAACTCTGAATCATGCCACACACATTGGCAAGTTCAAAACTGCATGTACCCATAAAGCTTAATGAGGAAGCTATGGTGACAAAGAACATGAAGGGAAAAAACCTTAAATTATTAAAATTTTTAAAACTTAATAGAAAGATTCACTCAAAAGAATTGGTGCTTAGATCCAAATTAGATGTAACACCAAAAGATTTGTGCATAGCGAAGGGTTATTAATTGGGCTGGGATCAGGGTGACAGGACCGTTTAACATCATTTTTTCTTAAGTTGAAGATATAATCATAGTTATGTCTACATCTCATCTGTGTGGTTTAAAAAGAAACCCAAAAGCTTCAAAGAATAAAGCTTCTACAAACTCTGCCATCTTACAATCAATGAATGCTGCCAGATGGTCCTACTTCAAAAAACAACTAGGTGTGAATTCACTTTATTTTATAATCAATCAAATTTACATTAAAATAATCAGTTTTTCTTACGTAATGAACTGATTTGCATATTTCCTCCATGACTAGTGCAATAAAAATCTATGAATATGCTCAGAAATGTGCAAAAGAAAAAAGAAAAACAAGAAGAAAATATGTGACACCTTTAATACTAACACGTTTTAGAGGATATGCTTTTATGGACCACATTCCAAACAGAACTGGAAGTAGGAAAGACCAGCTATGTATACAAATAAGTCATCATAGAATCCTAGAGTTGGGAGAGACCTCATGGGCCAGCCAATCCAATCCCCTGCCAGAAGTAGGAACATTGCATACAAAGCACCCCCAGCAGATGGCCATCCAGCCTCTGTTTAAAAGCCTCAGAAGAAAGAGACTCCACCACACTATAATCACTATCACAGTTCTACCACTCTTACTCAAAGTTGTGGCCCCAAACCAGCACCAAAAGTCAAGCAATCCATGGCAATTTCTAGAGAGAGAGAGAACAAATATGCCAATGGGCATAAAATTAGTGCCACTCTCTGGCATAATAAAGGTAAAGGTTTCCCCTGACATTAAGTCTAGTTGTGTCCGACTCTGGGGGGTGATGCTCATCTCCATTTCTAAGCCTTCAAGGTCATGTGGCCAGCATGACTGCATGGAGCGCTGTTCATCTTCCTGCAGAAGCAGTACCTATTGATCTACTCACTTTTGCATGTTTTCAAACTGCTAGGTTGGCCAAAGCTGGGCCTAACAGCGGGAGCTCACTCTACTCCCCGGATTCGAACCACCAAGCTTTCGGTCCGCAAGTTCTACATCTCAGCGGTTTAACCTGCTGTGACACCAGGGGGCCTCTCTCTGGCATACTGATAAACAATAATAGGCAGTATCCCACATTGATTCACCTAAGGAACACTGATCTGTTCTGCTCTTCAGTATATTTCTCCTTTTAAAAAAGATGAAAGTATAAAAATCCAAAAAGGATGAAAGGAAAAAAAAGTGAAATTGCACATGAAAGGGAGCTATGTATGCAATGAGAGATTCCATTTCATTCAGTTGCTTGATTCAAGCATGCACACTTTTTTTCAAAGGCAACAACATTTGCTTTTTCCAATAGCATATTACAATGTGCTTGTTTCAAAAATCCCAAAATTATCTGCTGGACTACAAAATAATATACTTGTTAACAATTTTCATGTCATTAAAGTTAATGAATATTAATCTTGACTGATTCAATTCTTAGAATCTAACACTGAACTTTGAGCCAAGCCTAAGGTGGAATTCTTTTGATAAGATTCCATTTCTGTTCATAGTTCTTCATTGAGCCTCCTTGTAGCTGGTTTGAGTCACCTTGTAGAGAGAAAAAGCGGGGTATAAATAAATATAAACAATCATTATTATTATTATTATTATTATTATTATTATTATTTCTTGGACGGATTTTTTGTGGGAGACTTGATACGGGTTGGTGTGAAATAGGACACTGACATGTAATTCAAGTGGACATTTGCCATCCTGAGATTAAAATATGAAAAATGTTGAGTTTCACAAAATTCTTCATTTAGAAAAAAACAGCTTTTCTTTGAGATGCCAATAAGAAACAAGAAAAAAGCAAAAAAGTTGAAGTCATACAGAAAAAAAAGTTGCAATAGAACCTAACATACTTACAGCAGTTGTATAGTCGACTCAGCTTCAAGACATCAGATTCACTAAAATCAATTCGCTGTCCAATCACATCAATGAAGGCTGGGATGTTTGTGACTATAGTTGGTTCGTTCCCATTCATGAAGGCAGTTTTACTGTAGTGCATTACTGAGGTGTAGTCATATGGGACGTTAAGGAAATCTGATGTTTTATCATCATACTTATTGAAATTACTTTCTTTGCCTGACAAAAAATGTAAATGAAATTAAAAATAGTGAAATGAATGCCTTATCCCAATAGCATAGGCCCACTTCCACCATGTTAGGACCAGAAGCAGATGAAGGATCCTCCATCCATCCCAACTTCCACAGCCCTGGCTTCAGATTAAGAGAAAAAGAGGCAGTTTCTGCTGAACTTAATTCTGTTGACCTTTTACTTGTATCATGTAAAGTGATGACACTATATAAACAAATAATATATTGAGCACTGAATACTTATCACTTATACTGATGAGGTTGGACTCTATTAAAGACGTGGTTGTTCAAGAAGGCGTTCGAACAAGAAGTGCAATGGTTGGTAATGACTATAGGAATGGAACAACGGAAAATTATATTGGATTGTGGTTTGGATAATGAGATGATGCCGAATGGTTTTCGTAGCAATGATGATGTTTTTGTATAATGTTGGATTATGAATTGTTTTTTATACTGTGGTTGAATTTTGTTCTTCTATGTTGTACACCGCAGTGAGTCGCCCCCGGGCTGAGAACAGCGGTATATAAGCAAAGTAAATAAATGAATAAATAAATAATAAATATTATGCTGGACTTTACATACCTTCAGCCCTAGCCGGCATAGACAAGGTGAGGGATGTTGGATGTTGTGACAGGTAAGAGGGCCAAGTTAAGCCAATTTAGATTGCTCAATCTGGCGAGGAATCTCACAATGACAGTACTGCCCCCCTTAACTATGTGCTGCTTGGAAATGTACGAAGTGTGAAACAAGATGAAACATTTTCAGTCTTTTAAAGGAGAGTGAGATCTGTTACCTGCTTGAATTCTGTCTCTCATTATCGTGACATAATCATCTCGATCAGATCGTGACTGCTCATGCCAAAATCCCAGTGCATGAAGGAATTCATGCTCAATTGTTGCAATCCTGTCACAGTTGGCTCCTATGGAGAGTTCTTGCTTCCCAGTGTGGCGGTTTCCTACATAGGACCAGCAGCTAAGAAAGAATATAAAAGTGAGCCAGATATGTGCTGTATTTAATCTTGTCCTAACCTGACCATACAGCGAAAGAAAGCGTAGTGATGTCACATGAACTGCCATGGCTCAATGCTGTGGAATCATGGGAGTTGGAGTTTGCTAAAGCACAAGCACTCTTTGGCTGAGAAGGCTAAAGACATTGTAAAACCATAGCTCCAATTATTTCATAGCATTGCACCATTAAAGTGGTATCAAACTTCATTAATTCTATAATGAAAATGCCCCTTAGTAATATTTCCTAGCCAAATACATGTGCATACATGCAGCTTAACAGAAACATAATTCACCCATGCTCCAGTCACCAGAAGAATTTGTCTTTTTTTTGGGGGGGGGGGAATCACATTCATAACCTTTTGGGGGAAAAACACCTTTTAGAGATAATAACTTTTTGGAATAGCACAACCTTTCAGAGAAGAGTCAAAAACCCTTTAGAGAAGAATCTTCTCTTGTTGTATACAACCAGATATAATTAAGCAAGGCAACGGTTACAGTTGCTAGACTGAATAACCTGTTACCTCTGATATGTTAGGAAAACAGAGATTTGCCAATGCATTAAAAACAGTGTTTTTCAGTGCCCAAAATTATATACTCTCCCATAAAACAACTTGTTTTATATCATGAACTCAAGAGACAAAAATGAAGTAGACTTTGATTAAAAATAGCATATTTGGTTTACTCGCATCCTTCATGTGTTCAGCATACACAGTAAAAAAAAACTTATTAGTCCAGTTTCAAATACCCTTGAGATGGTTCCCTGTGCCAGCTGTCTTGTAACAAAATAGCTATCAGCAGGTCACATAGTCAAAAGGAGAGAGAGAGCATGTGGTCTGCAGTCCCTTTTATAACTTCTCAGGAACCATAGAGTAAAGAAAGCAGCATAACAGAACATACATACAAACAGTAAGCAACAGGAGGATAAACATTACTAGAGAAGGCTTGAAGAAGGTTGTCATTTCCAACATTTTCCCCTTCTATGGTAAATTGTGCCTTCCCCATAGGTTTATGGGGAAGGCACAATCATGACAATTGTGTCACAACCATGACCAAGTAATGATTGTGAGTACAATAGTCACAACACTATTGTCATGATTGTATCTTCCTAAACCTGCTTTATTTTTCAAGGCATTGACCATAAAGAAAGGAGATTTATGATGAAGGTAGGGAAATCATCCATTTCATTTCAAAATGGAGTATGGCTGAGCTCTACTCTGCCAAACACTTCCCTGCTTCAATGTGATGAAGTGGTTAGTTAAGTTAAGTAGTTAATTAACATACTAAACTAGGTAGCTGATATGGTGGAAGGAGGAAGTCTGTGATCAAGGCTCTTGGTCATAGAGGATGGAGTGACAGCACCCCCTGTGGCTGGAATTGAGCACAATCTCCAGGATGGCAAAGTTGGGAAAAAATGCCTCTTATCTGTTATCTGTCCTATCTGTTAATGGCATTGCCATATATGTGTTCTGTGATCCGCCCTGAGTCCCCTTCGGGGTCAGAAGGGCGGAATGTAAATGCTGTAAATAATAACTAAATAATAATAATAATAATAATAATAATACATAATTCTACCCATTTTTTTAAGTTAGTTCCCCTAATCCTCCTATTTTCTTCTTGTAGATTCACTGACAGAACTGAATATTTTGCAATTACACAGATGTGAAGGAAAATATCATTATTTGAATTAGGAATGTGCAATGTTAAACTCTATCTACTTTATGGGATATGAATGATGGCATAAATTTGAATCCACATTTCAAATGAGATATGACTATCAGTTATAACCTGGTCCTCAAAACTTCATTTACTTAATGGAGGGCTAGTTAAAATATTTAGGCATCTTGCTCAAGTTCTTATTCTCCCCGAGTCCATCTTTTCTTTGCTATTAATGTCACAGCTTTGGGCTCAAGTTGTTTAGTGACTCAAAAGGAAATCTCTCCTTCATCTATCTTTTTTTTTTATTTAGGAAACCTAAATACAGCCGTGGGGTGCAATCTCCAATGTGTGACCCTAGTCCCTAACGGTTGCTCATCCCTGCTATGTCCTATAACAAGTGATCCTGTATGAACAACTGGTTTCTACCCTAAAGCTGTATGTTTAAGAGATATTGGTGGGAAATTCATAATCTCTTAATCTTAGATTGTTTGGAAGAAGCTGAGACTATGAATCATAGATCAAAATCCATCCTGAATTTCTTTCAACAAGATCTAGTACTCCTTCAGTTAAAAAGAAGATTCTATTAAAATTCTTAAAACGTATGAACTACAGCTAAAATCTAGTCACTTTATCACCTTTAATCTCTTCACATTCCATAATCAGGACTTTGCAAACCAGTGAACATGGAGTCAAGTTTTTATGCAATCGTTCTTCCAGAAGACAGTAAATTCACATTTAAAGGCTAAATAATGTTATCACCCTTTATGACTTTTAGTAATAACTAGCCACCATAAAACATAGGAACATACTGCACTAGGCAGAGAACAGAATCCTCTATGAACACTATTTATGCATCTATAAAAAAATAGCCTGCTCTATTTCAACATTCTGAGCAATGACAGATGACGTATGGTAGAAAGGAAGACAAATTCCAGGCTTAGATTAGATAAATCAATAGAATCTCATGAGATATGGTAAACTCCTCTATAGGTATATTCCTGATAGAAGGAAGAAGCAAGACTTAGGAATTCTACAGTTCTGTTTCTTATAAGTTTCTTCTTTTCTCAATTTTATGCATATTTATATTGACTGTGCAGCAAAATGCAGAAAAATCCAAAATACAGATCACAGTAATAGCATTAGGTTGACCAAAAGGTATAAATTACATTAAACAAGCTGTCAAATCTCACTGGTTTCTTCACCAGGCAAAGATGGTAAAAATCATACAGGGAAAGAAAAAGGATGGTGTTAGAGCCATCTTGTTTGAGATGTTTGCTGTAAGGTGATATTTAAGGTGGTCTTCAGAGAGTATTGATGCAAAACAAAACTCAGCTCCTTTTTGGTCATTTGGGGAAAACAAAGATAGTACTAACCATGTAATAAAATATTGGTCATTACTAGAACACCATAAACTTCTCTGAAATCTCAGCCTCTTCCACCCTGTTTGAAGATAGGAGTAAATGTGGTATAGCACAAGTCCATTTTTGTAAGCATGTGAGCTCTTATTTGTTCCTGAAATCCCATTCCCTTGAGAGGTGATGACAGCTACACAGGACTGGTCTTGAATGAGGTAAATAAGGAAGCATATTATGATGATGTGGAATGTGCATCAACTGGAGAAAATTGTTTGCAAGACATTAATGTGATCTATGTAGGTGAAGTAGTCATCTTCCTTTGAGTGAAGATTGGAGATTTCCATGTGAACCAGCATAGCATGACCCTTCATTGGCATAACTCAATGGGATTGTTGAGAGAATAAAAGCAAAAAGACTGGGGAGGGAAAGACAGAATTACAGGCCACTGGGGAATGTTGATAATGAGATCTCAGAAATTACTTAATGAGGGTGAAAAGTCTGACTGCTTGTGCAACCAACTGGCTACACACCCATAAAGCCCCACAAGGGTTCTGAGCCCTTGTATTGAAGTTCTGAACCAATTTCAAAGGTATGTTCTTGCTGCCTAACATTTGTTACATATATCTTATTTTAATTTAAATACCTCTGTGCCCTGCTGTTATACACATATCTCTCGGAAACACCAAAGAGCCCAGTTAATCCTCTTTCCCTGAGCTAGCATCATGTTGGAGTAGAACACTAGGAGACTAGAGTTTAAATGTCTTCGGCATGGGATCTTGGAGAAGTCTCATTTTGTCAGCTTCAGAGGAAGGATAAGCCCATGATAGGAACACTTTAGGGTCACCATATCTCAGAAATGACTTGAGGGCATACAACAACGGCAATCATTGTACCTATTCTGATTCTTTTCCTGTATTGATCCACTTGTTTTATTGGAGAATTGTGCCTCAGTATGGCTTCCCAAGGCTTCATTCTATTATTTTTTTTGTCCTCAAAATATTTTTAAACTGGGAGAAGGTGTTCCAAGAAGGACATGAGGCCAAAAACAAAGCTTTCAGGGCTATGTGCAACTTACAGGCTTCATAGTTCTCATCCCTGGCATAGGGGAACCCCTGTGGTTCAAAAAAAAATGACCATAACAAGTGAAGAAGATCAGAAAAGAGTGATAGGATTCTGGGCCACTTTTAATAGCATGCATAGTTCCTCGCTGTTCAGTGAGTAAGCATTGGACACTGGGCATTTCCAAAGTGAAACTCTAGAATGCTCTTAATCAAGCATTGTTCAACTAGGTGCTACATGCAGGATTGCACTGAGAATATGTAGAAGGAGACAGGCATGTAGCCAGGGGGGGGGGGGCTTGAAGGGCTTCAGCCCCTCCCCCCAGAAATTGTCAGGGTGGTCCACAAGAAGGCCTTACTGGTACATTATTTAAATTGTTATGTTCATTCATATCATGATCTGATCACCATGCTCAATATATCCCATATGCATGGGGGTATTGGGATAACAATACAAAATATTTGCTAGGGTAGATCCTCACCCCACCCCCAAAATCAAACTCAGCCCCCCCTCCCCGAATCAAACTCTCAGCCCCCCCCCCCCAATCAAAATCCTGGCTACTGGCCTGGAAGGAGAGAAGATCACTGAAATTATGATTCCTCTTACCCACTCCCTTTGAACACGGATATGTAATTTGCTTCACCTTCCCAGGGTTTGAAATCAATGCAGGTTTTCAATCTATACCGTTCAAATGCTTCCAGGATCAGCCCCTTTGCATTCATATCTGGAAGAAAAACAATGCATTACTTACTATTGGACTAAAGTTATGAATTTCATTACTTACTATTGGACTAAAGTTATGAATTTGAAATCTTTCAGCTACCTAATATCCCCTTGTAGTTCTGAACTATGATAACATCTATTTATTTGATTGATTCATTTGATTGATTGTGCCAGTTAAATAGCTGCAACTAGGAAGTAAATGTATACCATGCAAGTTATCTTGTTATAATGATTTCTACTGTTAATAAAATGAAATGTGGCATATTTTCTCTTAAAACTTGCAGATAATTGTCCACTTGAAATTCCTTCCAATATGATATTCACACAAGCCAAGATTAATATTTTTCTCTCTCTGATGAAGCATTGGACACTTGTGTCATGTCAGTGCATGTGCCAAAGTTGAGAAAGAATTTTCCTTTTCTTTGGATACTTAAAATGTGATTCTAAATTCTCTGATGCAATTTTGTTTTCATGTCAGGAGTAACTTGAGAAACTGCAAATTGCTTCTGGAGTGAGAAAATTGGCTGTCTGAACTTTTTTGATATTTTACCATCCTGTGGGAGGCTTCTCTCATGTCACTGCATGGGGAGCTGGAGTTCATAGAGGGAGCTCATCCACAATCTCCCCAGATTCAAACCTCTGACCTGTTGGTCTTCATTCCTGCTGACACAATGGTTTAACCCATTGCACCACTGAGGGGCCCTTGCTGCAATATCAAACTTGGGTACTAAAGGAGGCTCTGCTTTCACCTATGGTGTTGGCTGTCTCCATAGAAATCTGATATGTGAGTGGTGGACTTTGATTGCTTGTTGGCCTCCCCAAGCTCTGCTTTCACCTATGCTCTCTGATCTTTACACTAGTAAGGCTCCAGTGATCTCAGGTATGTAACAACTGGAGAAGGGAATGAAAGCATTGGCCCTTCAATAGTATTTTCCACAATGGATATTTTCCTTTAGTGCAATACTAAACTTAGGTACTAAAGGAAAATATCAATTGTGGAAAATACTATTGGAGGGCCAATGCTTTCAATCCCTTCTCCAGTTGCCACATTTCTGAGATCATTGGAGCCTTACTAGTGTAAAGATCAGAGAGCATAGGTGAAAGCAGAGCTTGGGGACACCAACAAGCAATCAAAGTCCACCACTCACATATCAGATTTCTATGGAGACAGCCAACACCATAAATTGATTTCAAAGCAAATAATCATAGGCTAGCAATATAATATTTTGTTTACATCATAGTATCAGTCACCCGACCAAATTAACAAATGTATTCATGGAATTTAGAAACAAACTCATAACAGAATGGGATTTTTTGTAATGAAAACTAACATAAATACAACTATATAAAGACTGAACTTTCATATGACTAAACTGAGGCTGTTATACCTCAGGCATATCATGAGATGGAAAAGAAAATAATGCTTGGGAAAATGGGAGGAATTTTTTTTGGGGGGGAGACCACAATACATTCAATCAAGGAAGCTGTAGCTCTGGGTTCGCAAGATTTGAGCAAGACAGTTGATGGTCAAGGAGGTTTTTCATTCATACGCTGGCCATGAGTCTAAGTCAGTGGTCCTCCAGGTGTTTGGGACGCCAACTCCCAGAGGACCTAGTAAGTTGTTCAATGGTCAGGAATTCTGGTAACTAATGTCCCAAATACCTGGCGACCAAGGGTGAATACCACTAGTCTAAATTAATGTGATGCTTAGAGTAAACTGGATGTTCTAATAATAAGTATTATTCCTTTGCAACATTTTTAGCAGAATTCTTAGCAGCACTGCCATCTCTGTATATTGGTCTATCTCAGTGGTTCTCAACCATCCTAATTCTGTGACCCCTTAATACAGTTTTTCATGTTGTGGTGACTCCTCCAACCATAAAATTATTTTTGTTGCTACTTCATAACTATGATTTTTCTACTGTTATGAATCATGATGTAAATATCTGATATGCAGGATGTATTTTCATTCACTAGACCAAATTTGGCACACATATCCGATGCACCCAAATTTGAATACTGGCAGGGTCACCCACAATCAAAGAGGATTCTGAACCCCGCCAACTATAAAATTGGGACAAACTTCCCACAAAGAACCCCCTTGTCTTCAAGGGACTGACTGGTGTGAGCCTCCCTCCCTCCTTGCACACCCTCCCTCACCCTGCACAGGTGCACCACGCCATATGCCAAGTACGCCTGCTTTCCCCTCCCTGCATGCAGTCTCAGAAACAGCCCTCTCCTTGTCTGAGAGGCAGGCCAATCACAGTGAGGAGGGCTTTTGGTGGGAGGATTTACTGGCTGTTTCCAAAAGAGAAGAACAGGCAAAAGATCTTCTGCCTTCTCTGCCAAAGGGTTTCCTAAGACTATCAGAAATAGATGTTTTCTGATGATCTTTGGCAACTCCTATGAAACCCCGTTGTGACCCCCCCCCAGGGGTCACGACCCCCAGGTTGAGAAACACTGGTCTGTCTGGTTTTATTAACACGACGACTCAAATCATATTGATTAGGTCCATTGAAATAGTTGTTGAATAAAGAAGTTAATGCATAAGTAAGTTTCATAGATTCAAGGGATGTGACTTAGTTGGGACTAGAGTCATATTCATGCCACTTTCTGAGCACTCATATCCTAGATATTTCTTTCTTTTTAAAAGACTATTCAATAAAATATTTTCTTTCTTCGTTTGTTTTTCATATATAACTTTTAAAAAATCCACTTGGATATTGCAAAGTTTATGTTTGCTTTTATCTTCTACTTCTGCCAAAAGAATTTCAAAAACAAATACTAAATAAATGAAGAAGTGCCCACTTTGAAACAAATAATTTTTAAGAAAATCATAACCATACCTAGGCTGTCCTCAAGGACATATGGAATGGTGTGAGGCCATCGATACTGACTGCCAATGATTGAGTTTCGTTCATGTCCCTGGAAATGAAGGCAAATATAAGAAATTCAGGGAAAGAAAACTGTCTGTTGAATCCATTGAACCATTCAATCCAATCATTTAAACTTTAAACACATGTAACATGGTGAACCTCTGCTTCTTATCATTCATCTTTATATTATAACATAAATAGTTGCAGCTAGTTTAGAAGATCACACACAGACTATGTATAAGACTAGACTATATGCAACTGTATTTCTTGTGCACTCCTGGGATTTGTGCTCTGACTCGAGGTGGACTCTGGTACAGGATATTCCTAACCCTAACCCTAAAATCTTTTAAACTTGCTCTTTGAAAACATTCTTGTTCATTTTTACACTAAATGAGCTGTCAGAATTTAAAACACATCTGAAGACCCGTCTCTTTCCCATGTTGTCCGAAAAAGCATCTGGCAACGCTTTTACACTAATTGGAGGCAAAGCCACATGTAATGTCATCTGATGGCTGTCGTGGGGCTTTGTCCCCAAAGCTGACTCTAAGCATCTTTGGATGCTTATTTTGAGCCATGTGAGATGAAGGGAATTAATATAGTCAAAACGGTAATCAAATGGCTGAGTTGGTTATTCAGTGTCATAATACTCTGCTTTGTTGTTGTCTTAAGCAATCTATATGAATTCATTCATGCTTAATTACAATTTCATTAAGAATACATGTTAAGATAATAAACAAGGTTATTATCTCTTCACTTTAATGGCTCATGCTCTTTGGAGTTTCATAGACGTAGAACAACTTTTGAACTGATACATGGTTCTTTCTTTTAAACTGCTGGCTATAGTGTAATACAAAAGGTCTACTACTGAGCTACTAAACTTGCTAACCAAAAGGTCGCGGGGTGAGCTCGCATGGATAGCCCCAGCTTCTGTCACCTAGCAGTTCGAAAACATGCAAATGTAAGTAGATCAATAGGTACCACTCCGGTGGGAAGGTAGCGGCGCTCCATGCAGTCATGCTAGCCACATGACCTTGGAGGTGTCTATGGACAACGACGGCTCTTAGGCTTAGAAATGGAGATGAGCACCAACCCCCAGAGTCAGACACAACTGAACTTCATGTCAGGGGAAAACCTTTACCTTTTACCTATCGGGATTAATTTCCAAGACATAAAAATGGCAGTAGGATGAGCAGGACTGCTTCACACCACATATGATTAAAGTAATTACTATTTTCAAATTGTAAGCTCTATTGTTTTTAGTGTTTAGTCATGTTTAAGAGAGCCAAGTGAGATGATGATGATGATGATGATGATGATGATGATGATGATGCCAATTTGTATGGGGATTAAATAAATTTATGGAGCACAAGACTACCCACAGTTGTTGGTCAAAATGGATATATATTATGCAAAATATCAGAAACAGCATGTTTTTGAAAACCAGTTGCTGGAAAACACAAGCAGGGAGGTACTATATAATTGGATACTGATTATGATTTTGAAGTCTTTTTAAGGCACTGGAAAAATAGCATTAGAACATAATGAGCCCCACAAAGCTATGTCCTATAAGGCACATGTTGCTCAGGTAGGTGTTTGGCACGACCTAGCACAAGGAAAGGTGAGTATTTCACAGCAGTACTATAATGAAAATCAGGCTCACAAGCAGATCAGATAGCTCTCCATTCTGAATCTTTAAGTCAGAGAAATATTTCGGATTTGTAATCCGTTTAGAATATGGATGCACATTCTCACCGTCTCCTAACTGGTGGCAATTTAAACTGATGCCAGTGGTTTGAACTCACCCCATTATCAAGTCTGATATCACCCTCGAACAGGTCAAGTCCTATAGCTGAAGGAAGAAACCCCAGTACAGGTTAGTACATTTTAATGAACACTGCCATGCTAATTATAATTATAATGTAAATAGTAAAATTATGTTTTAAAAATAGATGAAACAACCTGCATTGATGTCAAAGATATCTTGATCTGTTCCATCATCTTCATCTATTTCTGAAAACCACAAGAAAAAAAGAAATGAGATTAGTAATTATTGTCACTTTATTTATTAATTTTAAGAGCTAGGCTAGCATCCTAAGAAGAGTATTTAGAAGTAGGAATCACAATTCAGATTTTTTTTTCCCAATTAGCTATGCTTAGGATCAAAATGCCAATGTATTAATGGTAATAATAGTTCTTTTTTGTTTTGTTTTTTATTTTAAAGATGTTTTCCCCCATCTCTCCCCCTGGACATACAATTTACATACTGATATTTCAAATGTAATTTCTGTAGGTTATTGTAAGTTTATTGTTTATTGTATTGTATGGTAATAATAGTTCTTGATAGCATTATCAATCACTACTAGGAATGATGATGATGGTAATCTGCGTTTATATTTTTTAAGTTTGATATTTTTTTCCCCATGTTTTACACTCTTGACTACGATATGACATTAACTCACCAAGTGATGCTTGAAGAGGCTAAAGGGAAAGGTAAAAACAGTTAGATGTGCAAAACTGTTGTTCTAAGAACTCAGAAATCTAATGCCATAGCTATTATCCAATTGCAATTGGCAAGTTTTTCCCCCCAGAATAATTGAAGCCAAATTCATGGCAACACTTACATCCACAGTAAGCCACTCTTATGGCTTCATATGTATAACTGGGTTTTAGCTGACTTTGAGACATAATTTCTTACCTCGTTTTCTTAAATTATTCTTAGTTAACTGTATTTTTTTTTCTCAATAGCAGCTACATCTTAAAAACTACAATGATAAATACGACTGAGGTTTGGATTGGTGGCAATCATAATAATTAAAATTATGGAACATAGCTCACTGAGATAAGTGCTCCAATGACTTTAAGCCTGGAATCCTCCCTCAATATACTATGTTGTGACTTGGTTGAGGACTAATGCATGACGGCTAGTACTACTCAATCAATTCTGCTTTTTCTCCTCCTTCATGAGAGCCAGTAAACAAGCTGGGAATTGATAGTTTTAAGAACAGAGCAGAAAGGAGAGAAAGTTTAACTTTTCCCCCACCTAGCTACAGTACTGACACAAGTCAGTACCAACAGGAAATTTCCTTCCTATGCAAACAGCAGGTTCCGAGCAACATAGAATCATAGAATCATAAAGATGGAAGAGACCTTGTGGGCCATCCAGTCCAACCCCTTGCATTCAAAGCACCCCCAACAGATGGCCATCCTACCTCTGTTTAAAAGCCTCCAAGGAAGGAACCTCCATCACACTCCAGGACAGAGAGTTCCACTGCTGAACAGTTAACAATTGATATTAAGACCACAGTGGAAGATAAGATGGTGAAACTCTAATACTTATATACACCAATTCTGATTTCTCTTTCCTATATACAGATACCACCCATGGTTATTAAATACAAAGTTACTCTTACTATTTCAAAGTTACCAATGATAAAATTGCATACACACCCACACAGATTTAATACGAAGTTACATATAACCACATGCTTACTTTTCTCTTTCGAGCTGCTAGTTTACTATTATTTCTTCCTAATGCTTAAATATGAAAATATGCCCTTTGTTGCCTTACCAGAGAGTAAGCAGCCTTTAGAATTCCACTCAGAAGCACAGCAAATAACCACAAATCCATGATATGTCACTTCTGTAAGAGCTGTGAACTTTGAATCTCTGTGCATTTTATATCACAAGTCTCATCATAAATTAGAACTTTGGCCCTTGTATTAAAGACTAGGCATGAAACATGTTCAAGGAAGTGAGGTTTATTTCAGCAGAGAGACCTTGAGCTTGATGCTAGTCTTACGCACGAGCAATCCTCTATGGTAGAGATGGAAACCATACACCCTCATGATGTTTTGGTGCATAACTTCCACAGCCCCTTACCATTGTTGGTGCTGGTTGCGGTTTTTTGAAGTTTAGAACACTGTGGTGCAAGCAGCAATCCCCAGTTACACTGGAAGCAAACTATTTTAACCGAAGGCCACTATGATGATGCCATAGAGTGCCTTGGACCACAAGAAGATCCAACCAGTCCATCCTCCAGGAAATAAAGCCCGGCTGCTCACTGGAGGGAAGGATACTAGAAACAAAGTTGAAGTACTTTGGCCACATCATGAGGAGACAGCAAAGCTTAGAGAAGACAATTATGCTGGGGAAAGTGGAAGGTAAAAGGAAGAGGGGTCGACCAAGGGCAAGATGGAAGGATGGCATCCTTGAAGTGACTGGACTGACCTTGAAGGAGCTGGGGGTGGTGACGGCCGACAGGGAGCTCTGGCGTGGGCTGGTCCATGAGGTCACGAAGAGTCGGAGACGACTGAACGAATGAACAACAACATACCATAGAAGGTCCTGTAGTATTCATAATAGTTTTAGAGCATTGGGTTGCTGATCTGTTTATCATCTTAGTTTTAGTTCATTTATTTTCTTTAACACTACTAAATTTATTTTGTTGATAGTGAATATTTTGAAATGTATTCCTACAAGACCTTGCATCATACATAAAGTTATTAAGAAGATCCAAAAGGCTTTGCCAAAGAATGACAGGAAAGTGAAAATGTTAAGAATATACTTAACATTTTAAACACATAACAACAACAACAACAACAACAACAACAACAACAACAACAACACTTTATTTATATTCCGCTCTTCTCACCCTGAAGGGGACTCAGGGTGGATCACAAGTACACATACACAGCAAACATTCAATGCTGTTTGTATGGACAGTACAGACAGAACAGAAGGAGTGCTGTTTCGATGCCATGGACAGTTGGGCTGGAGTCCACAAGGGGTGCTGTCGCTCCATCCTCTATGACAAAGAACCATCAGGACTTCCTCATTCCAACATTTTCTGATCTTCTTTTTCTTTATGGTGTTGTAAAACACCTCCCCCACTTTAGCCGTACCTAATTTCTCTAATTACAGCTAAAGCTCTTTTCTAACTGCTTAGGTAAACAGTGAGTAGAGCTGACTGTCGGCCGCTCACGCCGACCCGGGGGTTCAAACTTGCAACCTCTTGGTTGATAGATCTTATAGTTGCTGATGATTTACCAGCTGTGCTAAACCTACATGCTTTATGGTATACTTTTTCTGTGCATATGGTGTATCTGAGGGGAAAATGTTTGTTGCATTGTGGTATAGGTCATATATTTCGTTAGGCACACTTGAAAGTATCAAGTATTAATCATTACAGGACATACTTTTGACTGAAATATGCCTATTTAAAAAACATAGGTAGAAAACAGCTGCCTGTTTATCTACAGAAATACTGGGTAGAAACATTTCCAATGTTTTTTTAATTAATATTTTACAGTCGTAGCTTTAAACATAGTGCTCTCTAGTGGTAGAATATTATAGCTGTTAAATTATTTTTACAAAAGTGTGTATGTGCCTACAAGTCAGCTGACAACTTATGGTGACCACACAAATTTCACAGATTTTCTTAGACAAGGCATAAAGAGAGGCGTACCACCTTTGCTTAGCAATCTCTAGCCCATACAGTTCTAGAAAGCAACTCCCAGTATTTGAGACTCCAGCAAGCATTGCAATGTCTTTTAAAAGCAGCCTATCTCTAAAACTTTAATTACTGGACACCCAGAAACAGTATTAATAGGACAATTCAGCACTTGTAAAAAAAATTATGTGCAATATGAGAAACTGCAAGTCACTTCTGGTGTGAGAGAATTGGTTCTCTGCAAGGATGTTGCCCAGGGGATGTCCAGATGTGTTACCATCCTGTGGGAGGCTTCTCTCATGTCCCCGTATGAGAACCTGGAGCTGACAGACGAGAGCTCACCCCACTCCCCAGATTCAAACCAACAACCTTTCGGTCAGCAGTCCTGTAGGTACAAAGGTTTAACTCATTCCGTCACTGTGGGCACTGTGTGTAAAAATAATTAGTACTCTAGATAACAAGTGCTTGGGGGAAAATACCCAAATCTGCTGTAGGACTTGTAACAGGTGAGCACTGACTACATGAGAATTTAGTGTCCAACAGTTTGACTCATTTCCAGCTACATGAGAATATAAAGATTATATTTTGTTATTTTTGCTAATTGCAAAAAGAATCCATGGGAGTCTATAATCACTTTCTTTGTGTAAAAAAATAATGGGATCCATTTAAAAATTTCTGTCATCTTGCCTTGCAATTTTACATACGTTTCTTTTTGGGGCAGAGCTTAAGAAAAAAGTCAAGTTGCCAAAAAAGATGCTATATATCTTAATGAGCATCACTCTTAGTCATTCTTCTCACAACTTCCTGTGAAAGGAAATTGACCTGAACGTTCTTAAGCCTTCTCCTAAACCTTTAAGACATTTTCCCATGCTTACATATCATCCTCTGCCTCAAATCACTTCCTATGCCAGCTAGGAAATCAGGGAAATAACTGCTGCTCATTTGTTACTGAGCATAATTCAAAGCGATGGCTTTAGCTTATAAATCCCTAAATAGTGCCAGTCCAGCTTACCTATCCAAATGCATATCCCTTTATGAGCCAGTTAGAGCATTAAGATTAGCTAGAGAGGTCCTGGTCTTGGTCCTGCTGCCATTGCGGGTACAATTGGTGGGGATGGAATACAGGGCCTTCTTGGTTGTGGCCCCTTGGCTGAGGATCTCCTTCCCCAGCGAGATTAGATCAGCCTCCTCCCTCCTGGTGTTTAGAAAACAACTAAAAACTTGGTTATGCAAACAAGCATTTGGTGAGTGACAACAATAATGTGCAGATGGATCATAATCTAGGGATCAGTGCCAATGTCGAAATGTTTTATGATTATGTCAATGGTTTTTAAATTTTAATGGTTTAATTTATAGTTATATGTTATTGTTTTAGATGTGTGGTATACTATTTTATTGTATATGACATATTGCATTTTGCCATTTATTTGATGTGAACCTCTTTGAGGGTCCTTCCACACAGCCATATAACCCAGAATATCAAGAAAGAAAACCACACCATATCTGCTTTGAACTGGGTTATCTGAGTCCACACTGTCATATATCCCAGTTCAAAGCAGAAAATGTGGGATTTTATTCAGCCGTGTGGAAGAGGCCTAGGGGTGAGAAAAGTGGTATATAAATACAATTAATTAATTAATTAATTAATATGTAGGGAGCCATTTTTTGCTTCTGCATCATCACATTAGCTTTGTAGATGAGGCAAATTTAATTTCAATAATAATAATACTTTATTTATATTCTGCCCTATCTCCCCAAGGGGACTCAGGGTGGATCACAGTACACATACATGGCAAACATTCAATGCTGTTTCGGACAGACAGGACAGAGACAGACGTAACAGAAAAGAGGTATGTTGTCTCGACATCTAGCTTTTGGGCGTCTTGGAGGTTGTACTCAAATCCAGCCACAGGGGGGTGCTATTGCGCTATCCTCTATGATGGAGAGCCATCAGGACTTCCTCGTTCCTTTTGGTCACCAGGCATTTTCTTTTTTCTTTATGGTGTCGTAAAATACCTCCCCCACTTGTTTTAGTGGATTCCTAATTTCTCTACTTACAGCTCAAGCTGTTTTCAAATTGCTTAAGTAAACAGGGAGCTTTTGCTGACAGACGGGTGCTCACACCGACCCAGGGCTTTGAACTCGCAACCATTTGGTTGGTAGATACTATCCTTGCTGGTGATTTACCAACTGTGCTAAAGCCCAGCCCATAAGCATTTCTCCCGATAACTGTTGTTTTCTTGGATCAAGGAAAAACTAGGCAATTGTGTCTGGGTTCCAGATAAACAATATTCTGGGGAAGTGTTTGATGCCAAAGATGAATAGCTGCAACTGCACATCTTAAGATCACAGGAACAGCTGCATATCTGCAGTTTGTAAATACATAGCCATCTCATACTTCCTTCTACCCCACCATCAGTGTCCATAAGGTAAATTGTTACTTATTTACAAGGTGGGTTTCTCTCTAATGAGGCCACCATATTTTGAAAGATAGGGTATCCTTCCCCTTCTGTCCAATGTCAAAATGTGGAATTTGCCTTTGTGCAACCAATAGGCAACATTCCTTTTTGTAAAGATTCCTCATTGCTGCAGGAATGAAGGATAGAAATTACACACAAAAATTAAAAAAGGAAGCCAATAATACTGATTGTCTTCGAAATTAGTACTTACTGCTCTGCATCCTTGGTCATCCCTAAGAGAAAGATTATAAAATACCTGTCTTCTTTCATCCATTACACTGCTAATGCTTTTCTTTTCATTGCACTTGCTAATTAACTCAGGCTCACCCGAACCGCCTTGATTCTAAGTGGAATTTCAACAAAAAAGCTTTCAGGTTTTTTACTTCAAAAAATCATTCATTATTGTTGTGCATTTCTATGGCAGAAATAGAATTCTTGCCGAGAAGCACAACAAGATACTAGTGGATTCTGAAAATCCATTTAGTTTGTTTGCTTTGCAGAGTGGTGCAAGACTTACAATGATGCTTTTGGATTCTTCTATCCAAATGGAAAGAATTGATTTGGGTCACCTTTTAAAAACATGTGAAGAAAGGCATTTTTATTTATTTTTTATTAAAAAAATAAAAATGAAGAAAAAACAATAAGCATAAATGGAAAATGCACGTGCAGTTCATAATAGTGAGATGGATGACTCACATTCTACCATTATAAACAGAAAAAAGACATAGAGGAAATTCTACAGAATACATCCAGAAAATGGCTCACCAAAACTTGACCAGTGGTATAAGACTTCCATTTCTTTGTCCTCTGCTCTCACTGAGAACATTTGCTTAGCTGCTGCCATTAAGGCTTCATTTCTGTTTGTGTTTCTAGTCAAGATGGACTTCTACTTACAAAGGAAAGGCACTGACAAGGATCTACTTCCACTAACAAGTTTGTGGACAATTACATTAACTTTGCAAGACTGGTTTTGTGAAGAATTTTGTTTCTGCAGCCATTCTTTTTGTATTGAGACAGCACAGCTTCGGCTGGGGCGTTGAGGCCTTCATCAATGTATGTATACCATGTATGTGTAAATTGGTAGAAGGGAATCCAGTGCAGCTTCTCGTCTGTGAGCACAGGTACATCTTCTGTTCTACAAGGGTATCCAGAAGTTTTTGTTGATGCTTAGTTGGTTTCCTTCTATGCAGTGCAGCATGTAATGGGGTGCATGGTGCCTATATTATTCAAGTTATTTCAACTTCTTCGCTGCATGGATGTTGGTGTTTGACTCAGAAAAAATTATATTAATTTATTAAAAGGGAGGAAAGTTCTGAGAGTGCCTTGGACTGCGAGAAGATCCAACCAGTCCATCCTCCAGGAAATAAAGCCCGACTGCTCACTTGGAGGGAAGGATAGTAGAGGCCAAGATGAAGTACTTTGGCCACATCATGAGAAGACAAGGAAAGCTTAGAGAAGACAATGATGCTGGGGAAAATGGAAGGAAAAAGGAAGAGGGGCCGACCAAGGGCAAGATGGATGGGTGGCATCCTTGAAGTGACTGGACTTGACCTTGAAGGAGCTGGGGGTGGTGACGGCCGACAGGGAGCTCTGGCGTAGGCTGGTCCATGAGGTCACGAAGAGTCGGAGACGACTGAACGAATGAACAACAACAATTAAAAGGGAAGGGTTAGATTCTGACAAGAACATCCAGAATCAATTGTCTAAGGTAGGCATTTTGTGGTTCAATAAGTTTCCTTCTATTAATCAAAAAATGGGAATTACTCTAGGTTAGTTGGGACATGCAAGGTGAGCAGGGAGGTTTGTTTTGCGCTTCTGAAGAACAAAGAGTTGGGTTAACTCATTACTCTGAGACACAGCAATCTTTATTGACCTAATGAAGTGCATTTATTGGAGGATGCTGACAATAACATCTATCAGCTCTGCATAAGGGATTGTTGGAGCTCACTGTGCAGTTGTGTGTGTGAGCAATTAACTGTGGTTGATTGTACCTTTCTGGCATATCTGTGCAAGAATTTAGATGGCTTAGGTTGGTGAGCACCTTCAAGGTAACTGGGGGCTCCCAAGTCCTGCAGTTCAGAGCTCTGGAACCCATGTTCAGGTTATGGAATCTGTTTTGGGGCCAGTTTTCCTCATTCATTCAGAGTTTTGAGGAACTGGGTCTGTGATTTCATGGAATGTGTTATTTTGTATAGGTGGGCTCACCTTGCAGTATAGTCTTGGAGATAGTTTATCAAAAACTCAATTAACAAAATAACCTTTCAATTTAACATGTTATGTCAAGGGTTTTCATGTTCTCTGAAGCTTCAAAACACTGGCAATGTCGTTTTTAAGACTAATATCCTTAACAGATCAGCTATGTAGAGAAGAACTTTACCATGGTTTTGGTTCTAGATTCACCATTGTTTTTGAAAATAGATGGCTGCCAATGACAGTGTTCAATCTAAGTTCTTTCCTACATCATGTTAGGCTTACATTACTGGTTAAAGGGCAAGATATTTCAAAATACTTCAGATGTGCCAGGGGACTGGACTTTTTAAAAAAAATGCTAAGTAGATGATACTGGCTCACAACTGAGTATTTGTGATGTGGAATAATATCAGTTTCAAAGTCTATGAATCTCAATAAATAAACAAAACTGAGACATAGGTCAACCACTTTTCTACAGTTAGATATCCAGTTCCATCAGATAACATATGATATTGCCAAAATGTTTTTAATGAAATAATATTACACTGGATAAATAACAGCTGCAAATTCCTGGCAGTATGAATAATAAGAAACAGCAAAACATTTTCATTGAACACAAAATGTTAAAAAAAATGTGAAAGATTAGGGCTCAAATGAGTATCTTTTATTTCTTTAAAACATCTACAACAAAAACTAAGGCTTAATCTAAACACAGAACAACAGTTAGGTAATACTGGAGAAATCCAGTCATCCTTAATCATAATTATCACTAACATTTGAGTGATTTTCATCCAAGACCGAGCATTTTAAACAGGTGACATTCACTTGGTTTCTGGATATGCTCAATATGTAAGATCATTCTTCTCTATAAAGTCAGAACAACTGGGTATTGACCTAAGATACGTATAGACCCCAAAACAGAACTTAACAAAACCCCTCTTATTTATTACTGCAAGAACATTTGTAATATGACAACATTATAAACGTATCAGCAACCCCAATTTGACATTTCTATCCCATATTTTGTTAAAGAACCAGGAAACGTTTTCATAAATCTTATCGGATGAATTCTGTGATCCTAAAAGTTATAAACAACAGTTCTCAAACAGACTCATGTGAAGTCATTGAAACAACATACAAAAATGAGTTGTAACAAAATAGAAGTAACTGGTTGGAGGAATGCATAGTGGCAGAGGTCCTTGTATCACTGAAATGAAATTGGCCAGGAAAACCATAGTATATCAGAGCCGTCAACCCTCTGGAATGTGACTATTCTGTCATATTGCTTAGTGAGTACGGGGCTTAGCTAATTATTCACAGCAATTAAGCAAATCTGCCTATATTATATCCTGAAAATGGCTGGTATTAAGCCATGGCCTAGAATAAAACCATTTAATTTTGTAACATACATTAGAAAATAGATATTCGGTATGCAAAGGAGAAAAAATATTCAAAGACATTTGGCATTGCAATATTTTTCACCTCTTGTTCCATGGCAAGAAAAAAAAACAGGATTTAAATACACTCAACAAAGCAAATGAAATAGAAAAACTGTAGATAGTTTTCTTTCAAAGACAGTGATATTTTCCCCAGCTATTTGAAGAACTTCTATTCTCACTTGAAAAAAAGAAAATTTCACAATGAAATATAATAATATGGCATGCGTTTTTTCATTGGTTTAAATAAGAAACATTTAAAAAGAGAATCTCATCTAAGGGAAACAACAAACAATTGATATTCAAATAGATACCGAGTTCCCTTTTATTAACTTTAGGACCACAGATACAGCTTCCTCCTGGCAGGTAGCAGCGATGTGAGCAAATGATAGGTTTCAAAGGTTCACTTGACAAGATTCTTCAACTGCGTTTTGGAACAGAGTCTCCTCATCCAGCTGAAGGTTCTAAACACAAATAAAGAACAATGAATTAGAAACAAAACTTTCAGAGCTAAACCATTCTGCTCCGAGGCGCTATCTATACTACCATAAAATCCAGATTATCTGCTTTGAATTGGTTTATATGGTAGTATAGACTCATAAAATCCAGTTCAAACACGATAATCTAGATTATATACTTTGATAATCTGGATTATATGGCAGTGTAGAAGGGGCCTGAGTTCAATGTCTGTTCAACGTTATTAACGGCAAGAAAAATTGAATAAAGGAAACGCCCCTACAAAAACAGCTTTCATTAAAAAGTCATGTTTCAAATGGTTTTCTAGACCAGGGCTTCTTAAACTTTTCCATTTGTAACTCCTTTCAGCCCAAGAAATGTTAATGTGACCCTGGGCATATAAGTATATAAAATAGGTATAAAAATCAAATATTTACTGATAACAAATAAGCATTTGCAAGTATTGCTAAACAGGCTGATTTTCTTTTTTATGAAGTACAGCTGAAACATCTTCTACACAGTCCATTGTAAATTGCACAATAGATTGATATAAATGTCTAAACAGCCACCAGATAACATTCAGGAAACATTTGCTATTGCTAAATTTTTCAGATCCCGAGATTGACCCATTTGGGGTGAGGACAAACAGTTTAAGAAGGAGTGGTCCAGACTTGCCTCAAATATCTAACAAAGTAATTCCTCAACTTGTCAAAGAAACTGTAGAACTTCCAGACAGCATGAACCTGACAAATAACCAAGCTTTCTTAATAAAAGTTAGTTGGAAAAAAATGGAAGTGTAAGTCCATATTCCAGGGCATGGAAGTGTTAATGTTTTAAATTCAAAACACACAATTCTTACCATAACATTTACGTAGTCAAGCTGGTGTCTTTGATTTATATGGCCAACAAAATCTCTGGTAACCTGGTTAGGGACTTCCCATGGAAGAGACACACAAATAGGACAGATCTTGAAAGAGAAAGACAGTGTGTGTGTAAAAAGAGGCAACATATATAGGCTACAAAAAATAGTGATTTCATTCATGATTATGAGGAAATACAAGTAATTTCTCACATACATTACATAATAATTATAATACTACTATTATTTATCTAAAAACCATATTACATAAATACTTCGACATGAAACTTATTCTCACAGCAAAATAAGAGTGGTATAAAAAAGAGAAAATTTACAGAGGAAACTTTCTTCTAGCTTGTTTTATATAAAATATTATCTGATATTTCCATTTTTAATCTGTCTTGCCTCTCTCTGCCTTTGTGAGGGTGTGTTTTTACCAAAATAATAATAATGATCTAGAAACATTAGATGTTAGTGAAAGTAAAAAAAATAATGTAATTATGAGCCTAATTTTTCCATTTCTAGTAATACTGAATGTCACTTGTGACAGTAATACTTAACATTTTCAGTGAATTCAATGAGATTCAAATGTTTTTTCACTAGGGCTGATTTGTGCCGCCTCTTCAGTGAAATTGAATAAAAATTACACATTAAGAGCAGTTCCATAATACATCAGATTGTTTAGTAAATCATAAAAAGAGACATCAGACTCAAAGGGGAAAACACCACAAAAAGAAATGCCATTAGATAAAAAACTTTGTGGAAGGAGGGAATCCTTAGCAGCTGGAAACAGTTTAAACTGAAACATTACTGTAGGGTGAAAAGGGCATTTTACTCTCGCTCAACTCAATACCTAACACAGTATTATACTTAACACAATTTCAAAAACCAAGCTTTTGGTATGAATATAAAAACTCTAGCAATATATACTCACTACTGGGTCTGTTTGATAAAGATGTCTGTCATTACAATGATCCAATAAACTCTGTCTTGTGAAGTTATCTTCTTGACAGAGAGGGCATTTAAATGTAGGCTGTCCACTGAAAAACAAACCAAGATTAGATAAGGTTACAACATATATGCCAACATATATGCCAGGTGCAACATCCACAGTGTGCAAGGAGCTTCTTCACTCATCCAGAACCTCAACCATTTAGAACATTTTATCCAAAGAGGGTATTTGAATGGCAGTCAGATAAAACCATCAAGAGAAAAACCAACATTTTTGTATCTTATTGAAAAATTATAGACATCATTTATCCTAGCACACCTGATTTCTGAATACCCATCCCAAATTATACTTTGGTAGATTGAATTCTGTGTTATTTAAACTGTGTGATCATAGAAATGTTGTTAAACCACACAACGCCCAACAGTCCCATCAGCACACCAATGATAAGGAATGCTAAAAGCTGTAGTCCAAAATCTGTAAAACCATATAGTTCCCTCCCTGACTTAAAAGAGTCTTTTCAAGAATTTAAAACAGACCCACATAACATGCAGCCTACAACTCCCAGAATTCCTGCCCATTGGACAAGCTGGCAAAGGCTTCTGGGAGTTGGAGGTCAAAACAGCTGGAGGGCTGCAGGTTGTGCAGGCATGATCTAGAACAAGCCAACAATGGTGAAGTTGCTTTGAAATAACCTTCCCCTCAAGTGTTTTATTCCCAAAAAAATGTATACTAATTTAAAAATAATTTATCAGAACATGGTGTTCCATGTGTTGTGATGGAGTCTTCGAGTAGTGATACTACTGGGAGTATTAGGAGGGGAAGAAAGACTACTCATGAGCCAGACTCTGATGAGGAGCAACAGAGAAAGCGGATCAGGGAAATACTTATGGTGATGATGAATCATTTGAGGGCTTCGCAGGGGACTGAAGAGAGTGATATGGCAAGTTCAGAGGATGGAGAAATGGACTGGACTAAAGTGCGGGAGGTTCAGAACATTTGTGAAGAGCCCACAAGTAGGGACACGTTTGTGGGGTTCTCTGATTGGCACAGTGGGGATCCGGCTGAGTCCTGGGGAGTTATGGGTTTGGATAGAAGATGGAGAGACTGGAGGGATCAGCAAAGGGCTTCAGCTGAAAGGAGGTCTGGTGAGGCATTGTCTGATTCCAGTTCTGAGGAGGAATTGGGGCAAGGAGTTTCAGCTGGTAACAGGGTGTCAGCTGGTTCTAGTTCAGAGGATGATTTGTGAATAAAAGTAGGGTTGGGAGATGGGGTTTCTTGCAGTCAGCAAAGTGTTATTGTGTATTCGTGTGAGAGCTGGTTGAGAAGACGTGTTTGGGAAGACTTCTGTGGACGTAAATTTAATCCAGATTATCCATGGCTGCGGGGGTTGGAACTGTGGGATTTTCTCTGGACTGCCTTTGTGTTGATCTTATGCTTTAGCTGCTGTGCTGCCGTTATTCATTTTGGCTCTGTGTAAGAACTGGACTGGATTATCGTGTTTGTTGCCTTCTCCCTCTTCGACCCGGATTGGATTCACCACGACGACTACGCCACGTTTGGACTGACGACTCCAGCCTTTCTGTTTGACCCTTCGTGCTCACTGATGTTCTGCTGTGGATTGGAGTGCTTTTTTCCTGCTGATTGCATAGCTTTATGTTTAAACCGGATTATATTCCTGTTTAATCCAGGTTATTTTCCAGGTCCTGTTTTTTTGGGTTAACTGTGGGTAATACTGTGTTTCACACTGAAGAATAAGTGTTTTGAGTCTTTTTTATTTGTTTTTGAACTCTCTTGGTTGTGAACTAATAAACTTTATTGCTACTAAATACTGGTCTGGCACTTTAAGGGATCTGTCTTGCAACTCCATGACAGTCACTCCATAGTAGGGCATGTATCTGTCAGCTGTAGTGTCGTTTCCTAATGCTGCTAAAGGAAGGTGTGGGATTAGACTTTGAAGGGTCAAAGGTTAAATAAAGATTTCCTGGGCTCAGTTGATATTTCATGGAATTAGCTAGTCAACATGAGTTCCCATGGCAACCGGTAAACTTTTCTGGGGCCAGTTAATTTTATTGATAGTAGCCTCTAACTGAATCCAAACAGCAAGAGAAGCAACAAAACAGGTGGGGATCTCCAGCAGTTTGTTGCTTTGGTCAATAACAACAGGTGGCAGCGGGAACAGGTCTTGGACCCAGCAAAGGCAGAGCAGTCGGGCTCATACTCCCAACAATCTCAATTTCAATGAGTCCTACACCACAGCCTCATCTTTCTATGATCATTTCAGAAGTCCATCCACACGCTACCGTTATGAAAGCTGATCATTCCACTCATTATAAAATCAAAACAACACGTTCAAATATTAAAATCTACCAAGAGGGCATTAACAGCTGGTGAAGCTTCAACAAAAATTAGCTTAACATACTGACTGAAGCACAGCAGGTTAAACAGATAAATGATTAAACCCCTTTGCATGTTCGAAATATATTTCTGCTGCTTCTTCTTGCCAATTCATGTTTGCCTTTCCTTCTCTGTCATTTGAACAATGTGAAAAATGTTTTAAATTTAACATGTCCCTAAACACCCTCAGCGGTGCCATTTTACCACGGTTTAGGTCCCAGGTTTTTTTCAGCCCCAATTGAGTAAATCAAAAAACCCCTCATTGATGGAAGTTGCTTCCATGGCTCCTAGAAACAATAGTAAGAGATATAAGAGGTCTCTCTCTTTTTTTTTTTAAATTAAAACATTAAATGGAGACATGAGATGCAGCACAGCAATGCAGTCCTCAAAGGTATTGCAAAGTGCCAGTCAACCCCCAATCCCTTGTAGTTTCTACTCGGGTTTAAGTACCATAAACTATAGCAATCTCAGCCTTCCCAGTGTTGTCTCTTCCCAAATAGTCTCATCTCATAAGAAAGATGATAATGATCACACTGATACCATACACACTGAGTGAGAATAACAATGACCATTCTACCATGCTTATGGTCATAGGCATATAGGATATACAGGATAAACATCTGATTTACAAAGGACACCTAATTAAGAATGGGGCTAAGATGACAGAAAGTGAGAGAAATCTACTAATAAGAAATTCACTCCTGAAAGAGTTATCATGGAGAAAAGATGTCTCCACTGAAGCTTTATTATCAATCCTTGTTCTCACAATGGCAAATTTTTCTAAATTCAATTATAACAGGGACAGAAAGTGAGGCGAAATCTTCTGAACAAGGGCACAGACAGCAAAACAAACACCCCAGGGGTGTTAACCCTTCCCTATGCTATCCAAAGCATATCTATCTATCTATCTATCTATCTATCTATCTATCTATCTATCTATCTATCTGGAGTTTAAAATGTATCTGTTCTGTATCTGTTCTGACTTACATACAAATTCAACAGGAACAAACCTACACAATCTATCTTGTTTGTAACTTGGGGACTGTCTATACCTGCAATATTTAAAGAGAGACTGGCTAGATAGTGGTGGACTTTTAGGAAACTAACTCTGAGGCAGTGTGGGGTTCAGTTCTACTGATGGAAAATGAAAGAGAAAAATAAGCCAGGTGAAAAAAGTGATCAAGTGGAAAAATAAGCACAAGTAGACAGAATATCCCTCTCCAACCTGCATTCACATTTAGGTTGTAGGAAGGAGGCACAAAAATGTTCACATAGCCCAGCCATATCTCCTAGAAAATTGTGTATGAATATTATAACATGTTATTCTCAGACAATTTTGTCATAATATTGAACCCCCAAATAAATTATGTTACAACAAGGACAGAGGAGACAGCTCCTTCTCAGTATTTGTTTTACTAGCTCTTTATTGCATAGGAAAATATGAATTTCATCTTGTTTATTTGGAATCAAACTCCACATATGTGAATGAAACTCACGTCAGAATAAATGTACCTAGATGTGGCCTAAAAAACCCAATTTCTAGCAAAGTGTTTACTGAGAAAGGGAGAGAGCCACACTGAATAATTTTCAGCTTGAAAAGCTCAATATATAATTTGGCATGAGAGTAGGATGGTCATTTCAAAGAAGCTCTCTGTCACCAATCATTTTTGTGTTAAAAATAGAATCCTGTGAAATTAGCTTGGTTTACTTTTGTTATCTATTTTTTTTGAAGTGTTATCTTTGAAGAAACCAAGCAAATGTCATGCCCCTAAGATAGTTTAGGTTATCATTAATATTTATTTTAAAGATTTAAACCTCACCTTTCAGCCAGTTTATCACTTATGGCAGTCTAATCACCCTCTCCCCTACTCCAAACCCCACACATTGCCATTGTTCATCTAGTTTGTGGCAAAAACTAAAATATCCTTTCTCTTGATTCATGAGGCAACTGCTACTTTAGGATAAAAGTATTTTTGGTAGGACAGGTTTCCTGAAAAATTTTCTTCTTGAAGCTAGGATGGCTTTTCCCTCTGGGGTGTTTTTTTGTTCTTGTTTTTGTGGTCAAGGGAAGCAATTCTCAATCTTTTTTGAGTCGCAACCCCATTTTATAGAGGCAAAGGGCCCTTCGACACAGCCCTATATCCCAGAATATCAAGGCAGAAAATCCCACAATACCTGCTTTGAACTGGGTTATCTGAGTATACACTCAGATAATGTGGGATTTTCCACCTTGATATTCTGGGATATAGGGCTGTGTGGAAGGGCCCCTAGAAACCCGCATCCCTGATACATTAAAAATAGGCTTTTCAATAAGACAAATAAAAACACACCGAAAATAGATTTTTCAGTATAATATAACTCAAAATACTGCAATGCTACCGATTTAATGTGATGACTGACATTGTAACTCATTAACAAGATTAAAAATTATGGTTTTCGTTATTGTCAACCTCATATCATTCTCAATATTTAATCTGTTTCTTGTTTCGCTTTTCAATTGAAGAAGCGTTGAAAATCCGCTTTCACAGAGATATGTAAAAATAAAGGGGAATAAAACTTTTTAAAATTCCTTTTAAAAAATTTTCAGAGGTCACCACTGCATGGTGACACAGAAAACCATCTGAGGTCACGACCCACAGGTTGGGAACCACTGGTTTAGAGTGTCCTATCACTCAACCATATGTACTGCACAACTACCAAATCTCTTTCATTTAGCACAAACAGGCTGGCATCCAGTTAATGGCATAAGCACATGTTAAGTTTGTATTACAGTATGCCCTCAGTCTCCGCTGGAGTTTTGTTCCAGAACACCCCCTTCCCCTATGCGAAAGTCAATGGATGTTCAAGTTCCATTATGTGCAGTGATGTAATAAAAGTGTGTCACTTTTATAAAATCTCAAAATCAAGGTGCACCTTTTGAACATTTTTTTGGGAATAGGGAATACTTTCTCAAGGCATGGGTGGTTGAATCTGTGGGTGCAAAACTTATGGATATGGACAGACAATTGTATGTCCTTTTCTAGGCACTGTGGAAGTTAGTGTTCCCCTCTTCCCTCTGCAGCAACGCTTCTTAAACTTGGGGTTGGAGAACAGGGAGGATAGATATGGGCAGAAAATAAGGAAAAGGAAGGGGTGCCTCAAGAAAAGGAGATATATTTTATAAACCTATACACCCCATAAACATTTATTGGATGAAAAGGTGTCATGACTGCAAAAAGTTTAAGAAGACTTGATCAACAGTATTCAGAGAACATCAGACTCTGGACTTACTGTACAGCCTCTAATGCCCCCACCTAATCCTACATGGCCAGTCCATGCCTTGTGGAGTGTAAGCAGGATCAGAAAACAGCTTACTATGTGCCTGTGGCCAAACACAAAATTATTACAGCAACAATGAAACCAATGATGACATCAGGGACCTTACAACTGCTATAATAATTTTGACTCTGGTTATAGGGATCCTGCCTGCTCCCTATAAGGCACGGAATGGCTGTGCAGGAAGACTTCAGAAGCTGTAGGTAAATCTGGGGGATGGTATTTGACTTTGTGAAGGGTAGGTTTGCATGCAGAACCACCATGCTCCTCTGAGTGATACAAGATTGCAACAATGATTTGTTTAGTATTTCAGGTTGACTGGGTTTGGAAAGAATTCAAAGCAATCAGAAAGCTACACAAATATAAAAGTGTTTTGAATTCCTTCTTATTTTAGTGCATACAGATGGAAAGTGTTATTCCTTGTCCTAATTGTCAAACCTAAGCCCAAATGGGTATTATTTTCCAAAATGATCCTTACCTTGGAGCCTCCTCAAGGACATGAAGATTAGAATTTTCTCCAATTTCTGAAGTAGAAGAATCACTCCTAAAGCTTCATAAGAGAATGAGAATTTATTTCATATTAAATACAGAAAGGGTAGTAAGCCTAAGCAGCATCATTAATAAATAAACCTCACTGGTATTAGCAGGAGTTACTTTCAAACAAATGCCTTTAAAATTGGGATACAGTACATATCTAAATTTGATAAACAAAAATATTTTAAAACCCCTGAATCAAGAGCTTGGATAGAACTGCTTCTTGGTTCAGAGATTACTCAAGATCAAATTAGTTTATGTGGTTAATTCCAGCCTGTCTTCGGTGATCCTTGTGCTTGCAACCATGTGGAGGAACAGAAGGCAGGTAACTTCAACAGAATCAACAGGAGGAAATTCCTGCAATCATGTTAATACTTTTTCTGTATTTTTGTAGGAATTACTACAACATCGGGCACATGACTCCCTCCAATTTAATATATTTACACTTTGTTATTATTATATGAACCACCAAAAGAAAGCTATTACCTAAATACTGACTGTAAATGTGTCTTTTTGATAGTGCCTGCTAAAGTAGATGAACTGAATCAACAAAGGAAGCCTTGACTATTGCAAGACCTGTCGATTAGGGGTTCTAAAGGTCTCAAATCACAGTCACCCTAAGTTGAAACTGACTTACAATAAAATAACAAAGAAAAATGTGGGTCAAATATACAAAACAATATACAAAATAATAGCAAATGTGAGTGATCTTTCTTAATCATGCTTCCAAAACCTAAAAGATAGGTTGAGACGTATTATGGCACAATATTAGAAATACAGTATCTCACCTGGAGACGCCAGTATAAAATATAGTTATATCAACACTTTGATATTAAGGAAATGCTAAGATTTTTTTTTGTCTTGTCAGGAGCGACTTGAGAAACTATAAGTCACTTCTGGTGTGAGAGAATTGGCTGTCTGCAAGGATGTTGCCCAGGGGACGCCCGGATGATTTTATCATCCTTGTAGGAGGTTTCTCTCATGTCCCCGTATGAGGAGCTGGAGCTGATAGAGGGAGCTCATCTGCCTCTCCCTGGATTTGAACCTGCGACCTGTCGGTCTTCAGTCTTGCTAAGATGCTAAGATGCTCTGCTAATATTTTATCCCATGGCAAATATAAGGAAGGCAGTAAGTATATATTATCTTTAAGTGCATATTAACATTAACAAAACTAGTTGCAAATATGAATTACCTGTTTCCTGTTGAGTCCTGAGATATTTCTAAATTTGGAATTACGGAAGGAACACCATATTCATCCTGATACTTCTTACACGATTTATAATGCTGTCTCATGCGATAGATTCTAATCTGAAAATGAAGTTATAATTAATTTGGATTTTTAAAAGCAACACTGTATCTGAAAAAAGCTTTTATGAGCATTAACTTGTCATTCATTTATGCAAAATTTCATAGAAGACCCTTGATCCCATTGTGAAACTGCATCGCAACCAAGCAGTAGCACATGAATTAATGTTTTTGCTAATATTTCTCAATATTTTTGTTTAACGGATAGTCAGTGTACTGATTAAACTAATCTGATGATATTGAACACGCACCTACAGCTAGATCTTCACTGAACTTTACAGAATGGATCAAAACACTTAAAGAAGACAAGATCGCAAACTTAGTTGTCCTTAAATTAGCCTAACCAGGACTTAAAACACAATTAATTTGTCCTATGATTTCAGTGGATCTACTATCTAAATGGTTTTGTTATACAGTCTGCTCATAAAAAATCCCTTCCTAGGCACTAGGTCACTATGCATCATTGGCATACTTTTTCTGACGTGAATTTCAACAAAATAATTCAAATGTAAACTGGAAAAAATGTGTATGCATTTTTCTATTAAGTTTGTGAGACCGCTCTCATGGGTATTTTTGTAATAGAAAATGCCAATTTCAGAAGAAAGGCAGGATGTAAATCAAGTAAAAGAAAGTGAAAGACTAGTTTGTGTGAAGGCATCTCATTCCATATTAACTAAGGAATTTGACTTGTCTGAGCCTTCATAAAGCACAAATCTGAAAGCAAACAGTTACACATCATCATCTATCACACAGAAAGAACAAGAAATTTTCAGTACAGTTCTATGGCACATCCCATCGGATAAAGACCCAAATGAGTCAGTATACATAGGACTGAATCAAGTCTTTATTTTTAACAGAAATTATTCAAATAGACTGGTTCGAAGCTAGTGGATGACTTCTATTTCAATTATTTAAAACCTTCTATATATATACCCGTTTGCCACAGCATCTACAGCTTCCAACGAACTTTTTCATGCTGTTTTCAATATCTATGGCTCTGTTGGGACGTGATTCTTCTTTTCCAGTTACAATGCCTCTGCACAATGGACAATGTGTTCCTCCTCCTTTCATAGCCATTAAGAAACATTTCCTGCAAAATCTGAAACCAAATATAAATTGGTATACAAAAATAAAGAGCACTTTATCAAAAACTTCAATATATAATACTATTTTAATTACAGGGTTTCATATATGCTAAATGTCATAATCCATATACACTTTTCTTAACAGTGACCACATTTTCAGGTGACAGCATATTATTTTAGGTTTCAAAGAGGAAATCTCAGTGTTGGGTGAATTGGTAAAAATGGCAAATGAGTATCAAAGTAAATGATTAGCTCTAGCACAATTTTTTCCCCAGATTTCACAATTACTGATCGAAAATGTGTTGAAACCAAAAGTGAGTAATGAAGAAAGACATGTTGGAGAGGCTATTTATTTATTTATTACTTATTTACTTTCTTTCTACCTCGCTCAATCTCACTCTGAGGGGGATTCAAAGTGGCTTTCCGTTTTGTCAAATATTCAATGCCACAGTTATACAGGGATCAAACAATATATAACACAATTAACTGTTAAAATCAAAGCGACATATAAAATACAAATTAAACCATTAAAACATGTAAAACATAGCATCAATTCAGAAATCATCATCCAGGTTGCTCCTTATGTCAGTTCCGTGAGAATCTATTTCACTTTAATTATACTACTCACCAAACACCTGCTTCCATAGCCAAAATTTAACTTTTTTTCTAAAGATCAGGAGGTAGGAGGGCGATCTGATATCGCTGGGGAGGGATAGCTGAGGGGCCACCACCGAGAAGGCCCTGTCTCTCATCCCCACCAATTGCACCTGCAAAGGGGGTGGGACCAAAAGCAGGGCCTCCCCAACAGATATTAACACTTGAGCTGATTCATAGTAGGAGATACGTTCAGACAGGTAAACTGGGCTGGAGCCATTTAGGATTTTATAGGCTAAAGACAGCACTTTGAATTGTGCTCGGCTGAAGACTGGCAGCTAGTGGAGCTACATGAAGCTTCCAAGCAATCTTCAAAGGCAACCCCATGTAGAGCACGTTGGAGTTGTCTATTTGAGATGTAACGAGAATGTGGACTACCATGGCCAAGTCTGACTTCCCAAGGTACGGGTGCAACTGATGTACAAGTTTTAATTGTACGAAATCTCCCATGGTCACCACCAAGACCTGGAATTCCAGGCTCAGTGACGAATCCAGGAGGGCTCCCAAGCTGCAAACCTGTGTTGTCATGGGGAATGTAACCCCATCCAACACAAGCTGTAACCCTATACCCTGTTTGGCCTTTCAACTGACCAGTAGTACTTCTGTCTTGTCTAGATTCAATCTCAATTTGTTTGCCCTCATCCAGATAGTCACAGCTGCCAAGCACCAGTTCAGGACCTGCACAGCCTCCTTAGCGGCAGGTGGAAAGGAGTGATAGAGTTGGATGTCATCTGCGTACAGATGGCACCGAACTCCAAAACTCTGGATGGTCTCCCCCAGTGGCTTCATGTAGATGTTAAAACAACATGGGGGCAATACTGAACCCTGCGGAACCCCACATGACAGTAGTTGCGGGGCCAAGCAGGTGTCCTCCTACAACATCTTCCGGGAGTCTAAAACAATATGAAAATCAATATCGCAAATACCAGCAATCAAGTTGGACAATGATAATAATTACAAAAGGGCTTCAAAATAAAACTTGTCATTGCAAAAATTTAGGTACGTTTGGAACAGTATGCAAACTTCTTTTCAGCCCATCTAAAAGTGGGATAGGAAAGATCAGCACATGGTTTTTAGGTCAGAGTATTTACCAAATGCTGGAAGAAAGATGTAACCGTTATAGGATGTTAAAATGTGTTTTCAAAGGTATGTTTAATCAGTTACTAGTTAAGACAGTTGATAGGATCAAGCTTGTTGTTTGAGCCATTAATGTGTATGTTATTACAATGTTTTAATATACGCCCTGTAATTTTATAATGTTTTTGTGTAATATCTACCCTTACAGATTTAAGAAATCAAAAGTGATTGTGCAAATATTAATAAATATGCAGTACCTCCAGGATTAGAGAATGAAAGCTTCTAAATACCACTTCCTAAAACTGTATTCATATGGGCTTCCTGTTGGCAGCTATTCTGCCTTTGTGGACACAGTAAGTGTGAAACAAATTTGTTGCAACAATCTAACTTTAAAACAACTTGTAACAGTTCTGTCCCTTTCACAGGCTGCCCTCCACTAGAAGAATGTGAGGAAGGAGATACAGAAATCTCCCTAATTTCTTCCTCCTTCAATGTTTCTATTTCCCTCCCCATGATAATAATGCTAAAACATTCAGTTTAGATATTTGTAGTCTGGCAAGAACTCGGCAGATGCATTTTAAGAAAAAACTATACATTTTCACAAGCTGTATTATTCATATGCACAAAAAACAGACTATATGAATAATCATTTGTTTTGCATCCCTGAAATAATTTTCATTCTTAGTAAAGGAGTTAAAATGAAAACAGGCTTTCTAAAATATAAAAAGTGGAAACCCATGCTACAGGATATTTAATGGCAGACAGGAAAAGGTGTAGGGAAAATAGAAAAAATAAATAAATCTAGTTCACAAGAAAAGACAAAAAAAACTCTCAGAAGTGGATAAGACAAAAATACTTACACATGCTGGCAAATGGAAATCCTCACAGGTGTTTTAAATACATCTTGGCAAACAGGACAATAATAATCATCTTCATTGAAACAAAGTGTGGCAGGTTCCTCATTCAAGGCAGCAAACTGTGGTTTTTCTGAAAGAAAAATAGAAATATTTTTGTGCCAGACAAAAGAGCATTTGTCATAATTAAGTAATTGACTTTTGGATGCAGGGAGTATTCACACAATATACTGCATATTTAAGACTACCTTTATAATTTTCTTAAATCCAGATGTACCTGGATAGAATGAATGCATTCATGTTTATATAATGAGAAAAACATACGTCTGCTTTTTTAAAAAATGCATATTTTTAAAAGGTAAATGTAGCTACCAATAGCTGCATTGAGCACAACCTCTTTTGTCCTTAAGCAGATGTCATAAAAAATCTGATGTTTGTATGAGAGAGGGAATTTTGTAATAGAGCAGAAGACTTGAGTGGAAAGAGGATGAAGCCAGTTCAAAGGCAGTATGTGAATAAAAAGCACAATGAGAAAATACAACAGAGGGCACAACTGCAGCTGCTTTGAGGTCAGAATGTGGCTTAATTGCTACACTGCATTATATAGTATTTTAGTAGGAAACAGAATCGAGTATTGAAATGGTTTTGGTTTCAGACTTAAATTGTACAGTTATCTGGGGCCCCTTCCACACAGCTGAATAAAATCCCACATTTTCTGCTTTTGACTGGAATATATGGCAGTGTGGACTCAGATAACAGAGTTCAAAGCAGATATTGTGGGATTTTCTGCTTTGATATTCTGGGTTATATGGCTGTGTGGAAGGACCCTGAACTATTACTACTTTTTTCATCAACACTAATTCTTAATACATTCTTAATTTTAAATCTTAATTAATAAATTCTTTTTAGCAATTATACTTGGCCTTGCATGAGCATTCATAACACTGTTTTGCTGGGTATATAAAAATGTTCAAATACTTTGCTGTGAATAGAGCAGGTTATATTCATAATTCTTTAGTTACTTCCCCAGTAAGCACAATCGTTCTGTATGTGTTGGGAGTGTTGCATTAGTGTTTTTTTAAAAAATAGTTGCTTTTGTTTGAAAAAGTCCATTTACAGAAGGTTGACAACATTCCTTGTCTCTATGGCTTCTAAACAAGCCAGAATATTGGAACTGCTATATGAAGCCTCTGTACGAATACAGGCATAGTTCATACATATGAGTAAGTACATCCATGTATGGATCAACGATTTGGGTACAGTACTGACTGCTGTGTATGAAACATTAAATATTAGAAAACTCTGTTCACAGAGCAACAATCTGTGTGCACATGCATGTAGTCTGTCCATGGAGTCAATGTAATATCCTTAGGGTCAAAGAAGGATGGGTGGAAATGCATGTTTCATCTTGGGGCCCTTCCACACAGTCCTATATCCCAGGCAGAAAATCTCACATTATGTAAGTGTGGACTCAGATAATCCAGTTCAAAGCAGATATTGTGGGATTTTCTGTCTTGATATTCTGGGATATAGGGCTGTGTGGAAGGGCCCAAAGAGAATGGAATCCTGTATAAACTTCCAGTTCCCATAATTCCATAGCATTGAAGTTGGTGCCAATCTGCAGTGTTGCTCCCTTTGTGCTCAGCTCTGTTAGGCATGACTAGGGGCCCTTCCACACAGCTATATAGCCCAGAATATCAAGGCAAAAAATCCCACATGATCTGCTCTGACTTGGAATATATGGCAGTTTGGACTCAGATAACCCAGTTCAAAGCAGATACTGTGGGATTTTCTGTCTTGATATTCTGGGATATAGGACTGTGTGGAAGGGCCCTCGTAGTATCTGTTTTGAATACGGTTATCTGTGCCCACACTGACATATATCCCAGTTCAAAGCAGATAATGTGGGATTTTATTCAGCTGTGTGGAAGGGGCCTAAATCCAAACTTAGCTAATGTGGGATTTTCAGCCTTGATATTCTAGGGCAGTGTTTCTCAACCTTCCTAATGCTGCGACCCCTTAATACAATTCCTCATGTTGTGGTGACCCCCAACCATAACATTATTTTTGTTGCTACTTCATAACTTCAATTTTACTACTGTTATGAATTGTCATGTAAATATCAGATATGCAGGATGTATTTTCGTTCACTGGACCAAATTTGGCACAAATACCCGATACGCGCAAATTTGAATACTGGTGGGGTTGGGGATTGATTTTGTCATTTGGGAGTCATAGCTGCTGGGATTTATAGTTCACCTACAATCAAAGAGCATTCCAAACTCCACCAATGATGGAATTGAAGCAGACTTGGCACACAGAATGCCCATGACCAACAGAAAATACTGGAAGGGTTTGTTGGGCATTGTTTGGGAGTTGTAGTTCACCTACATCCAGAGAACACTGTGGACTCAAACAATGATAGATCTGGACCAAACTTGGCATGAATACTCAATATGCCCAAATGTGAATACTGGTCGAGTTTGGGAAAAATAGAGCTTGACATTTGGGAGATGTAGTTTCTGGGATTTATATCTCACCTACAATCAGAGCATTCTGAACCTCACCAATGATATGTTTGGGTTAAACTTCCCACACAGAACCCCCATGACCAACAGACAATACTGTGTTTCCTGATGGCCTTTGGTGACTCCTGGGACACCCCCTTGTGACCCCCTAGGGGTCCCGACCTCCAGGTTGAGAAACACTGTTCTAGGGCCTTTCCACACAGCCATATAAAACATAGTATCATGGCAGAAAATCCCACAATATCTGCTTTGAATTAGATTAAGGGCCCTTCCACGCAGCCATATAACTCAGAATACCAAGGAAGAAAATCCCACCATATCTGCTTTGAACTAGGTTGTCTGAGTCCACACTGCCATGTATTCCAGTTTGAAGAAGAAAATGTGGGGTTTTATTCAGCTGTGTGGAAGAGGCCCGAGTCCACACTGCTATATATCCCACTTCAAAGCAGAAAATGTGGGGTTTTATTCAGCTGTGTGGAAGAGGCCTGAGTCCACACTGCTATATATCCCAATTCAAAGCAGAAAATGTGGGGTTTTATTCAGCTGTGTGGAAGAGGCCTGAGTCCACACTGCTATATATCCCACTTCAAAGCAGAAAATGTGGGGTTTTGTTCAGCTGTGTGGAAGAGGCCTGAGTCCACACTGCTATATATCCCACTTCAAAGCAGAAAATGTGGGGTTTTATTCAGCTGTATGGAAGAGGCCTGAGTCCACACTGCTATGTATCCCACTTCAAAGCAGAAAATGTGGGGTTTTATTCAGCTGTGTGGAAGGGGCCTGAGTCCACACTGCTATATATCCCACTTCAAAGCAGAAAACGTAGGACTTTATTCAGCTGTGTGGAAGGGGCCTGGGATATAGGGCTGTGTGGAAGGGCCCTAAAAGGGGCCTCCTTTTCCCCCCACCCGTTTCGAATTCATTTCGGCTTCTGCCCCTCGGCATTCAAGCGTCAGACAGGAAAGAAAGCCCCGATTTGCCTGCGTGGGAGAGGGAGAGCAGGCCCTGCTTGAGAGTGGGGCAGAATGAGAAAAGGCCCGAAGAGAGAGAGAGAGGAGCCGCTCCTCCTCCGTCCAGGCCTGACCGACTGACTGACTGAGGGGCTCCCCGCCCTGAAAACATGCCCCCTTCCCTTGGTTTCGGGGCGGGCTACCTGTCGGGAGGACGGGGGGGTTCCCGCTGGGGGGCCTGGGAAAGGCTGGCCCGGGCTCTTCGGGGTTCCGCGGAGCCCCGCCGCTGGTCAAGCCGCCGCCGCCGCCGCTCTCCATGGCGCTTAGGCCGCGGCGGAGGCGGCGGCGGCCTCTTCCCCACAGGGCCCGCGTTGCCATGGCGACAAGGCCGCCCTCTCCCTCCCTCACGCCCCCCCCGCCCGCCGGGAATTGTTATTATTGAACAACAGACGGAGGAGGCGCCGGCCTTGGCAGCAGGAGCAGCGCCTCGCCCTCCCTTTCCTCCTCAGAAGAGAGGCAGTAGAAAGCCCCCTGGTCTCCCCCTCGTGCCCTTCATAGGGAGGGAAGTCCACTCAACGTGTTACACCGAAACCAGGCTTACTTATAAAGCATAAGCCCCATTATTTTCACCTCTGAAAGGAACTGCCAGGGAATGGGCCTGGCAGTCATTCCTCACAGGAGTGGGGCACTATTGACCTACAAAACCCTATAGGTTCCGGTCCAGCGTACCTGTCTGAACGCATCTCCCTCTACGTTCCACCCCAGAGTTTGAGATCATCTGAGGAGGCCCTGCTCTCGACCCCACCGCTATCACAAGTGAGGTTGGTGGGGACGAGGAGCAGGGCCTTCTCAGTGGTGGCCCCTCACCTGTGGAACTCACTCCCGGGGGAAATCAGAACAGCACCATCCCTCCTCTCCTTCAGGAGGAGGGTGAAGACATGGTTGTGGAACCAGGCTTTTGGGCAACCAGGCAATTAAATAAGGACAATCAGGACTGACAGGACTGACAAAGTGGAATTGGAAACTGAACTATAAGATGGCAAACGCTGACCGTTAATGAGGTGTAATTGGTTTTTAGTGGTTTTATTGTTATATGCAGAAACTCTTTCTTATTTATTTATTTATTTACCTTGCTTATATACCACTGTTCTCAGCCCGAAGGCGACTCACAGCGGTTCACAACAAGAGACAGCAAAATTCAATGTTACAGTATAAAAGCAGTTAACAACTTAATACAGTTGCACAATTAATAAACAATAAACAGTTAACAATTAACATTTACTACAATATCTATTCGCTATCATCTCATCCTCAAAAACATGATCCAGATTCGTCATCCAATGATCCATTCCAGTGTTCTTAACTGTTAATTGCTGCTAGATTGTTTTATACTACTGTTATGTGATGTCGGCATCGAATTGTGCCTTTGTAAGCCGCCCTGACTCCCCTTCGGGATGAGAAGGGCGGGGTAGAAGTAACCAAAATAATAATAATAATAATAATAATAATAATAATAATAATAATAATATTTTGTGTGTGTTCGTTTTGAGGCGGGCGAAAATTTTGTATTCCTAAAAGGGGTCCCAGGAAAATACTAAAAAAAGATCCAAAGGGTCTCAAGACAATGCTGGAGTTCAAAAGCCAAAAAATCAAATGATATTAAATAGTGTAAAAATATGTATACCCTGCTCCCATGGAACAACAAACTGGTACAAGATTAGGAAAGGACTACGGCAGGATTGTATACTGGGTTGTTGTAGGTTTTTTCGAGCTATATGGCCATGTTCTAGAGGCATTCTCTCCTGACATTTCGCCTGCATCTATGGCAAGCATCCTCAGAGGTTGTGGCGTCTGTTTTCCTAGTAACAACAGACCTCACTACCTCTGAGGATGCTTGCCATAGATGCAGGCGAAACGTCAGGAGAGAATGCCTCTAGAACATGGCCATATAGCCCGAAAAAAACCTACAACAACCCAGTGATTCCAGCCATGAAAGCCTTTGACAGGGTTGTATACTCTCACCTGACCTATTCAACTTGTATGCAGAAGACATCATGCACTGAACAGGCTGCGCTTTGGCACCACAAGATGCAGAGTTCACCTTAAGAAATGGGGCTAAGTTCCTTTTTTCATGTGATGGACTAGTAAAACAGTTTCAAAATTGGAAAGAAATACAAGAAACAATTCAGAAGATGTTAGACATAAAGTTGCACTTAAAACCACAGTACAGTAGAGTCTCACTTATCCAACTTACGCTCATCCAATGTTCTGTATTATTAACTACACATAGGAAACCTGCTACAAAACAGGAGCTTTTTTGTTGAGTTCCAGGGCCAGAGAAGCAGATGGCGAAAACAGAAGAACGGCTTGCCTCAGGGGAGCATGCTTGCTCCATCAATGTTCAACATCTACACAAATGACCAGCCATTGCCAGAAGGGACAGAGAGCTTCATCTATGCTGATGATCGTGCCATTACCGCTCAAGCAGGGAGCTTTGAGATGGTTGAACAGAAGCTCCATGAAGCTCTAGGTGCTCTTACTGCCTATTACAGGGAAAACCAGTTGATCCCTAATCAATCTAAAACACAGACATGTGCTTTTAATCTTAAGGACAAGCATCCTGAGCTCTGAGGATTACCTGGGAAGGAATACCACTGGAGCATTGCAGTACACCCAAATACCTGGGAGTCACTCTGAACCATGCCCTGACCTACAAGAAGCACTGCCAGAATATCAAGCAAAAAGTAGGCGCTAGAAACAATATCATACGAAAGCTGACTGGCACAACCTGGGGATCACAACCAGACACAGTGAAGACATCTGCCCTTGCACTATGCTACTCTGCTGCTGAGTATGCATGCCCAGTGTGGAACACATCTCACCACGCTAAAACAGTAGATGTGGCTCTTAATGAGACATGCCGCATTATTATGGGGTATCTGCGCCCTACACCACTGGAGAAATTACACTGTTTAGCCGGTATTGCACCACCTGACATCCGCTGGGAAGTAACAGCCAATGGTGAAAGGACCAAGGCAGTGACATCTCCAGCCACCCCCTGTTTGGGTATCAGCCAGCACGTCAACGACTTAAATCAAGAAACGGTTTTCTAAGATCTAGAGAGACACTCGCTGGAACACCTCAGCAAGCAATGGTATGGTTGCTGATGACACGATAAATAAATAACCTCAGCAAGCGAGAGTCCAAAAGTGGCAGGCTAAAACCCAGAACCTCAATCAATGGCTGATACCAAATGAGAGACTCCTCCCTGGGCACACAGAAAACTGGGCGACTTGGAAGGCACTGAACAGATTGCACTCTGGCACCACAAGATGCAGAGCCAACCTTAAGAAATGGGGCTACAAAGTGGAATCCACGACAAGCGAGTATGGAGAAGAGCAAGCTACAGACCACCTGCTGCAATGCAACCTGGGCCCTGCTACATGCACAGTGGAGGACCTTCTTATAGCAACACCAGAGGCGCTCCAAGAGGCCATCTACTGGTCAAAGGACATTTAATCAACTACCAAGCTTGCAAACTTTGTGGTTTTTTGTTTGTTTGTTTAAAAATGCAATACAACTGTTTGGTTTGCTCTTGACACAATAAATAAATAAACTAAACAGAACAAACTGCAGCTTTCCAGATGTTAGAGTATCATAACTCACACCCGCTCTAGTCTTGATGTCTAAGGATGAGTGAGACAGGAGTTGTAGTTGAGCATCTGGGGAGGGGGGCACATAAAATGACATGGAGGGGCAAATTCAGCCTGCAGTTCTTGCATTTGACATGTGCCCTAAAGGCACCAAGCCCCATCTGAAAAATGGAAGCTAAGCAATAACTGGGAGGCTGCCAATGAAGACCAGGTGATATAGGCTAAATTTCATGGGAGTGAATTAACAAAACTCATTTTACTTTACTCTGGAGACTTTTGGAACACCCTGTATTCCAGAATAAAGAACTGGGGAAATCACCTGAGTATAAAACAAGGTGTACTCAGAGGTTGTTTTCCCAATTTCTTCCTCTGAAAATATAAGCTACAGCTGCTTATATTTGGCGGTGATCTCCCATCCAAGCAGTAACCAGGACTAACCCCGTTTAGCTTTCAACGTCAAACAGGAATACGTTTATAAAATGCTTCCTTTGGAGTATTTTGAGCGGGTTTTTTTCTGTTGTTTTTTATGTTTACTTCAGGCCAGCAGGAATACATTTTATAAATTCTACTCATATCAAATGTGCAAGATTTTTTCCACCCTTGTTTTGTTACCTTTCATACAATATGCAGCAGACTATGGTATTTATTACCTCTTGGCTTCATCTAATTCTTAATTGCAGTTAATGATAAATGGTAGATCAACAAAATCAATAGAGTTTAAGCAAGTGTTGATTTAACAAGTCATATTCATTCATTCATTCATTCATTCATTCATGGATCTAACAACTGGATTTAGCCAGAAACCCAGAAGGCCCAAAAGGCCGTGTTGTCCCAGAATTTTTAATGCTATATTTTCAATGGGATTTTGGTATCTGTGAATGAAGTGAAGACCTGACTGTTCGAATAAGCATTTGATTAAACAGTGTAATTGAACATAGGAATATGGAATAATGGATGAGGAGACTGGATTCTGATTTTACTGTTGAGGCACTAATGATTGTTATACAGATATTTAATGATTTATGTTACAATTGTTTTTAATTGCCCTATACTTGTCTCGTGATGTTTTGTATTGATGTTCACCGCTTTGAGTCGCCTAAGGGCTGAGAAAAGCGGTATATAAATAAATAAGTAAATAAATGCCTTACTCATATTTTGAGGTAAGGCCGTTTTCAGGCCCTTTTAAATAAATAAAGATGAAACATGAACTATTTAAATAAATAAATGTTCCAAGTAGTTTTGAGAAGCAGATGGTAAAGTTCTCAGTCATTTCACAATGGGGTATGACCTGTGCTTAACAGTGGTCAGCCCTTTGTATTCACATAATCTGGGTCTGTGGATTCAGTCATCCACAACATAAAATCCAGAAGGCAAAGCTTGATTTTGCAATTTTAAAGGACATAATTTTTCTATATCATTGTATATATTGGAGCTTGAGCATTCACGGATACCAAAATCCCAAGCCTGAGGGTCCATTGTATTCTAAAAAGCAAGGGGCAACTACTGAAGCTAGACTAAATCTGCCACCCACTCCATCTTTGTTAAACGTGCCCTGGAGCTTTGTGACTATACCTCTGATGGCTATTTACAGGATGCAAAGAACTGTAAACGTGCTAGACAGCATTGGCCAATTTGTGGTAAGAATATCTGATAAGAGAAAACAGTGGGTAGCTTGTTGATCAAGTCATCTGAATCAGATGTGGGAGATAGACTTTGGTGGCAGAT